GTGGAAAGCACAGTTTGTAGAAGACAGAAATGTGATCAGTTAGGCACGTAGAGCGGTTTGACTTGGCAAGCAGAAAGGCCTCCTCTTCAGGGGAAAGGGATCAAAGAAGACATTTGAATGATGTGAAATGAAAAGAAGGATGAAGAGGGAGCTCTGGGCAAAGGGCCCCTCTTTTTTAAGTGAAATATGAGGCAAAGATCTCAGCTGAGACGGTGGAGGGGAGGGAGGAAAGGAGCTATTCGTGGAATGTGTTTTATGCTTGTCTGCTAACAATTGAAAAAAAAATAAGCCTCTAAAAGTTGTTGGGCTATTTGAAGGAGAAAAAAAAGAAATTGGTTTGGAGCAGGGGTTGTTAATGAGTGCTGAATTCATCCTTGAAACCACCTCCCAAATTCTGATCTCACTTAAGCCCACTTGCTTCCCAAATCGTGCATCACTTCCCACATTTATACAATGCATAAATATGCTACAGCACCCATTACTGCCTTGAAATTCACCCCAAAAGAAGTGATCTTCCTCAATTGCATTGATGTCAACAGTAAACTTTGAACAAACTACCTGCTAACCAGAATAGCCTTTTACATGCCATAATATTATCCACAAATTGTCAGTAGAATAACTATAACACTTTAAGGTAGCTATAAGAGCAATGGAAGAAATTTCATAAATTTGTAGATTCATGAAAGTTGATTCAAGTGCTATAAGTCTTACAGCAAGACACCCATAATATAAGGAACATCATTGATCATCTTATTCCAATACTTTCACTTTATAGATGAGAAAAGGGAAGGAAAGCAAAGTGACTTACCCAAGGGCACACTGTTAATTTGTGACAGAACACTTAGAAACAAGTTCTCTAAACTTACATTCCTCCTATAATCTTGTTTACATTACAAATTGGTTTAGCAAAACCTTTTTTGTAGGTAGAATAAACTTGGACCCAGATACAGTTCAAATTATTACCTTCTAAATGAAGGCAAAGTCCAAATTGATGAGATTTTACTATATTTAAAATTAAGAGGATTGAAAAATATAATGACTAAAGATTAATCCAGAAGCCCACACTAATTGAATTTTTCAGAAGTTGACTCTTATAAAATTCATTGAGTAAAAATAACAAGACAAAATGTATTAATCATACTTTAAAAAAATACAGAACTGAGTCAACTAAAGGCCTTAATGATTCCCTAATTGTGCTCATGTGGCTGAGCTGTAAGGCTTAAATGAATTAAAGTGATTATGCTCACTAAGAATCTATTCAGAGGAGGCTATCCATTCTTATTCATATCATGTCTTTATAGTCTTCACTATTTTGTGTTTAATTAAAACCCCTTTAAAATCGGATGCATAAAGCAATTAACAATATATTTCCATGACTCATATGTTGCATCCAAATGCAAATATTAAGAATGTCTTAGGTGGGCTTTGCTAATTATCAGTAGATGTGGATTAGTCCCTTAAAATATGCAATTGCCATCATATATCACGCATTCCTTCTTATATATTTTCGACAAAATTGCCTGCAGGGCTGTACATTGTAAAAAGGGAATTTTAAGAGTTACAATGAAGTCAATGTCAGGTAGTGGATAGGGGCTGGACAGAGTCAGGAAGAATTATGTTTAAATCCTGTTTCTTCACTTACTCAATAAGTCACTTAACTATGCTGAATTAGAATTTCCTCATCTAAAATTCACAAGATCATGAGGGTTTTTTATAACAAGTGAAATGATATATGCAAAATGCTTAAGAAATCTTAAAGTACTATATAAATATGAATAATTATTATTATCATGATTATTATTGGAGGTATAGGCCCTGGGTTTAAATCCTACTTTGTGATCTTGGTCACATTATCTGCGAAATGAGGAGAATGGACTGAATGAAATACTGGATTGCATGATCTCAAAGGTATCTTCCAGCTCTTGGTCATGTTCAGTCACTTATTCAATAAATATTTCTTTAGAGGCTACAATATGCAAGACACTGGACACTATCATGGTCTACATGCTAAAACTCATGACCTAAATAGACATGTCCTAATGTTAAATTTTAACATTAAAATAATAGCACAAATTCTGATCTTACTGAAGAGTCACAATGATTTTTCTTTGCCAAGGTCTTCTTCTTTATGCTCATTGTTTCTGGTATAATCCTAGCTTGGAGGTAGGAAGGAATAGAAATAAAATGGGAAAGGTTTCCTCTCCTTTCTCAGATAATTTTTTTTTGTACTCAGACTCTTGTTGGTGATATTTGACATTGAAAAGAAACCCTTTTCCTTTCTAAGTTTTCATTCCATTTATTCATATCCTATTCTGGAACAAAAATGGGTCACCACAGTATCAGTGCCGGCTAATAATTTTTTGTCTTTCATGTAAATCACAAGGTGTTAATTTGTTAAGTGAAAAAGCAGCTCTGACAGTTAATCTCCATGTGTGTCAGAAGGCTGAGTCTACTGCACTGGATAATTTACCCAGGGAATGGTTCTGGCTCAGGTTTGGAGGGAGGCAGTAAAAGAGCCTTGGATCAAGGAGAACAGGTTCATATGATGACTTACTGAGCAAAAGTATAGAATCTAATGAAGATTCCTTTCCATCCATAACTTTTTGACCATAATTTGGTTGTCAGTGACATTTTCCTGCATGTTCATTTAATAAGAATAAGAATAACAACTAGCATTTATAAAGTGCTTTGAGGTTGTCAAAGCACTCTACACATTATCTCATTTGAAGGTGTGAGAACCACAACCCTTTGAGGGAGGTGCTGTTATTATTTTCCAGATGAGAAAACAGAAGCTCAGAGATCTCATAATATCACACAGCTAGCAAATGTATGACACAGGATTTAAACTCAGATTTTCCTGACTCCAAGTCCAACACTATGCCACCTAGCAGCTTCATTTTATGTAAATCAAAGAGAAAAATCCCTGAACTCAGAGGGTTCAAGAAAGTGGTGCTTGTCCTTGTATACAGTTTTACCAAAATATTGTGGTACTAAGAAATAGCTAGAAACAACCCACATCTTGCTTATATAAGCTCTAAGGATCCTGATCCCATCTTCCACTCTTGCACTCAAGTCTCAGGTCCTGTAACAGTAATACACACCCCTCCAGGGTTCAAGAGGATACCCCTGAAGAGTTAGTAGTGATTCTCTAATGCCATCAGCTTGAGCCCCCACTGGTATACTTAGTTCCAAGACTATCATTTGAGAATCATAATAGTCAGCAAGTCTTAAGTAACTTTTAGAAAAGAGTACTTATTTCCTAAGGTTGTCCAGTAAAAACAATTGGTACAAAGCATCCTCAAAAAAATTTGTAATATCCTCTCTCTCAAATACACACAAAGTCTAGGGGGAAATAAGCTCAAGCTTGGAGAGCATGTTTGGCAAAATGGTAACATAGACCCTGGTTGCTAGAAGCCCTTTTCACCTATTGCTAGGGTGCCCAAGAAGTTCTCAAAGGTCTCCTTTGCCTACAGAAGGCTTCAGAATATTTCCAATTTGCCCAATTTCAATTATATTCCAATTTGTCAGAGTCATTGAAGGAAATAAAGTGGTTGGTGTCACTTTTTCTGGAGAAAAGGCAAAAGTGGATTAATTTATCCACAGGTACAAGTTCAGGCTAGAAAACTTCAAAGACATGTGGAATGGGTCCTAATCCTTCAAAAAAAAAAGTTAATGGCATCCTGCCTTGCTTTGCTCCATGGCAAACACAGCCTATCAGTCACAGCATTTTCACTTTCACAACTCCCGAGAGAAGAGAAAATGAATTTAGCTTGTGGAGCCAAGCCCCATACCAATGTGCCATGTTTGGTGGTGCAGCTCCAATGCCCTTCTATTTGAGGTTAATTTTCTCATATCGTAGGGAAGGTCCACACTCAAAGTCCATTCTGTTCAGTTTTTCTCACTTAACAGAAAACTCCATTTTTAACATGAAAAACCTGAATACAGAGAGCAACTGAAACTGAATTCTATCTGCGCTGAGCCTAACTTAAAATGTGACTTTCATCAGGTCATGAAAAGGTATCTCAGGTTAATTTTATTCATTTGTATAAAGGAAATGTAAATGCTGACTTCTTCAAAATGATATCCAGATAACCTGATCTAATGCCTCAAGCCACTCTCTATTGAGCTCTCCAATTATGTTCTAACCTTTTCATTGGGGACATTATGACCTAGGACTACACTGCAAACTTGGCATGTGGAAACAGTGAGCATCCTACAGAAATAATAATAATAGCATTCTTATAGCACTTTAAGGTTTGAAAAGCACTTTGCTTATGTCATATCGTTTGATCCTCACAACAACCCTTGGGATACGTGCTATTGTTATTCTGATTTTACAGATAAGGAAAGCGAGGGGAAAAAAGTGACTTACCTAGTACTACAGTTAGCAAATGTAAGGTTAGAACTCAGGTCTTCCTGATGCCAAGTCCAATACGTTAGCAAATGCACTACCAAACCACCTACCATGTTACACAATGTAATGGACATAGTTAGTAATGTATCATAATTTAACAGCAGTAAGTTAAGTGGAGAATATCCCATTTGCCCACAAAACTCTATAATCAAGATATTTTCCTAGTTCTTTCCCTAGAAAAAGTATTTTTTAATAGTGATAGTAGCTAAAAAATTGTATAAGGCTTTAAGGTTTGCAAAGTGCTTTACATATATGTTATCTTTTTTCATTCTCATAGCAACCCTATGAAGTAAGTGCTATAATTTTCTCTATTTTACCAATGAAGAAACTGAGGCTGAGAAAGAATTAGGGTTTCACAAGTATCAGGTGAGATTAGAACTCAGTCTTCCTGATACCAAGTTCAACAGCACACCCTATGAAGTGATTAATATATTTTAATTCTCCCACTACCACCCCAACCCAAGAAGCAAAGATGCAGAAATAACCACAATAGTTTCTCTTGTAATTAGTGCTTGAATGGAAACATGTCACTGGATAAACTATTGACTTGTCTCTCTGTGTGGTTTTGCCTTTTCCTCTTTTGTAGTCATCTACTGCCAAGGACAAGGATGAACAAACGCTAACGGTAGGAAGCAATGCCTGTGTTTATATTTGCACGTCTTCCTACAGAGAATGGGGAGTTGGGGTGGGAATGAGAGTGGGAGGAAGGAGGGAATTGATGGGTATGACAAATTATCCCTACCCTTAGACATTTAGAAGTTTTAATCTGCTAGTGGGTTTTCATAAGATGCTCTACAATTAGAGATAATTGCATTCCAACATAAACTGACAAATTATTCATGCTACTAGGTTTCAGAAACATTGTCATCTTCACTTTTGTTTGGCATGAATTTTCTTGGGAATTGAAATAACAAAATACTTCCTAAACAAGTCCCAAGAGTATAGTGCTGGTATTTAGGGACTGTTAGGGGATCTGTTCCCTGTATTCAATACATAAGGAAGCACTCTGCCTTCCACCTTTCAGGATCTGCAAGTATTTTTGGATAGGTAGTTTTTACTGGTTAGAAGAGAAATGTTATTGAAGGGAATCTATTCAATGCTACTTGCATGATTCCTATTCAGAGTAAGCTCCGTTTCTGAAGCCACCAGTGGTCAAGTGTGCATCACTGAGTTCTATAGTAAAAGGGAACTAGAAGAATAAGGTTTTAAATTACTTCTACATATATATATATATATGTATATATAAATATATACATATACAGATAGATATGCATGTATAGATACAGATAAGCATTGGAGGAACAATTGTGTATGAAAAAGCTCTTTCTATGTCCCTCTAGTTAACTTTATTTTGTTAGTTGTTGATCTGTTGTTGACAAATGTTCTGCCAAAAAATACTCTTTCCAGGCCCTATACAACTAACAAGCAACTCTTTATAAAGAGATGTTTATATTATGGGCACGGAGGGGAAAGGTTTTCACATTTATTTTGTTTAGCCATAGACAACAATTATGCTTTGGTACAATTCACCATTTCTCTCCTGAAACCTGCCATTACTTTCTTTCAAAAAAGTATATCCAACAAAACCAGGTAACTCAGGAAAAGACTCAAGAGTTTGGAGGGAAAGGAGTCAGTGTAGAGATGGATACCTGTATGTGACACCTTCTACTTTGTCCTGGTGTGTTCAAAACACTTGTTTTCACTTGATGATTCACTACTAAGAAATCTCTTTCCTCTCTAATTCATGAAATCTGGAAATGTTGTTTCCAGCAATATAGTCATTATTACAAAATTCCACTATATAGAAAGTGTTTGGATATCCTGTGGCGTTTGATATAATGACATTTCATATAAGTCAAGCTACATAAGGGTTTCACGTAGAGTGTGGGAAAGCTTGGAGAAAGTGCTTTATTTTCACCTGACAACAGTTGCATCAAACTTTTCTTCCAAAAGTCAGGTAAAAGTGTAAGTTCCTATTTTATTTTGGATTTTTGTCTGTATAAATTTGACCTACCTTCCTTCCTTTCTCATTTATTACAATAATCCCTGTAATAGCAAAGGGATTGTTGCTGTATAGTACAAAAGGGCACCAAAAAGGTAGGAGATGAGTATGGTCCGGAGAATAAGACTTTTTTAAGGGCTTGGGAGCAAAAAACTTTATAATTTTTACTTTTAAAGAAAAAGAAAAATAATTTGGTATGCCATTTCTTTCATTCTTCATGGAGTCTAGATGACTTTCCTTTTGTCCTGAACTGCTTTTCCCAATCCCTCTCAATTCTAATTCTTTCCCTCTGTTCATTGTTTCCTATTTATTCTGCATATAGCTTGTTTATATGTATTTATGTGCTTATTGTCTCCTCCATTAGATTGTAAGCTCCTTGAGGGCTGGGACTGTATTTTGCCTCTTTTTGGATCCCCAGTGCTAAACACAGTGCCTGGCACATAGTAGGCACTTAATAAATATTTATTGACTGACTGCTAAGTAATATTATTTAGTAAAAACTACCACAAGTCTATAGCTGTAAAAAACTACGAAAGTCATCAAGTCCAACCTTTTCGTTTTATAGATGGGGAAACTGAGGCTCAGTGAGATAAGTGACTTGCCCACCAAAGCAGAGGTGATAAGTATTTGAGGCAACTTTTGAACCTACAGCCTGTGGTTCCAGAACCAGTATTCTCTCTGTGGTACCATGCCCTTGAAAATAGCTCCTATTAAATTCAATCAATCAATAGGCATGTATTAAATGCTTGCTATGTACCAGGCACCTTTTTAGGTCACTGGATATATAAGTACAAAGAATGAAAGTCTGCCCTCAAGGAACTTACATTCAATAGAAGGAGAAAACAAGTAAAAATATAAATAGATACAAAAGATATATATAAAAAATACAAAGTAATTTCGGAGGAGAAGAGCCAGTAGCTTAGCAAATCAAGAAAGGCCTCAAGTACTAAGTGGTTCTTCAACTGAGCTTTGAAGAAAACTTAGGATTCAACAGAAATCCTCTGAAACATGCACTGTAGCTTGATGTCCTTAGGCTGGTATTTTCAACAGAAGGGGAAGTCCTTCTTCCACTTTGGTATTGGAAAGCACTTTGAGAATATTTGGAAAAAACATATGGACTTGTGGTAGAGACAAGTGACAACCAGTCCAATCAAGTAACCATCAATAAACATTTATGAAGTTCCTACTATGTGCCAGGCACAGCCCAGAGGAGTGAATTAGAAGGGATAACTAGGTTAGAGGAAGTGTGGTTAGTGGATTTAGCAGTTTAGATTGCTGGAACTGGAGTTAGAAAGACTTGGTTCAGATCCTACCTCAGACATGCATTGAGCGTGTCCCCCTGGGCAAGTCTGTTTGTAGAGGCAGGGAGTGAACAGAACACTGGGCCTAGAGTCAGAAAGTCCCAAGTTCAAATCTGGCTTCAAATACCTACTAGCTGTGTGACCCTGGGCAAGTCAAAAAGAGGTTACCTCTGTTTATCTCAGTTTCCTGAAGTGTAAAAATTGGGATAATAGCAACACCTACCTCACAAGATTTTGTGAAGATCAAATGACATAATATTTTTCAAAGAGCTTTGCACAGTGCCTGGCACATAGTAGGTACTGTAAAAATGCTTATTTCCTTCTCTTCCCTCCGTTTCCCTTCTCTGGCCTTCAGTTTCCCCATCTGTACATAACTGGACTCAAAGACATTTAAGGTCCCTTCTATCCCTAAATCTGCGATCCTATAGCTGATTTTCTCATAGAGATGAAATACATGGTGTTACAGCTACCTTCCTTCTGTTGACTAGATCCTTTCCTTGTCTCTCCATTCAGACTAAGCCACGGCTCCAGCGAGGTGGCAGCTCAGCTTCTCTGCATAATAGTCTGATGAGGAACAGCATCTTCCAGCTCATGATTCATACCCTTGACCCACTTGCTGAAGGTAAATACCAAGATTGTTTTTTCTAAGTTTCCATAACACTAAACAAACAATTCATCTTTTCACAAAATTCTTATTCATGCTTATGTTGATGTATCATATCATGGTGTCCTAGTCTGGTCTTTCCCAAGGGACTCTCTAGCTCCCTGTTACTGTTTGAAAGCTATTCCTTTGGCCTTTGAGTGATTTTTCCCTGTCCTTTTGTATTATCAGTAATAATAGTAATAATTGTGGACAATGTACTAACTTACTCTCCTGCCCCTTGTCTTAAATAAAGCTTGCCTTGATGCAAAGAGGATAGCAAGGCTAAACATTCCCTGTTTCTTCTTTCTGAGGTTTCCAAAGAAAGTTACGTGTAAATAAAAATCTATTCTGTGTTTTGTAATTTTGATGGATCTGTGATTTTCAGCAGTGTGGGGTGACTCCCCCCACCTATGTACATCACGGTCCTTCTATAGTAAGACTGTATTTTATTACATTGGGGTCACTTTTTGTGTTTTTTTAGTTTTTACTTTTTATGAGAAAGAAAACTAATTTGGAATATTTATTCCCTTAATTCTCATTGGAACCTAGAAGGCTTGTCTTCCTGTGTGAATCTTTCTTTAAATTCTCTGTGGAAAGTACAACCTCCAACAACATGGCAGAGGCTTTTGTCTTGTTCTTTTAATATCTCAGAGACACCAATGTAGCACTTACAGATATGTGTATGCCAGTGACTCTGTGATCTCATCAATGTCAGAATTCCCTCCATCAGTGCAGATCATAACTCATCCATGTCATCAGGTAATGATACCTGAACATATATCCATCACATCAAAAAAAAAAAAATGAACACAGAACTCAGGAAAAAAATGTGAGGGCTTATGTCTTCTAAATGGATGTAATGAATTATTAAACAGTGAATAGTATTCATCATAAAAGGGTATTATTGTCTTGGTAATAACTACTTCTAGAGGGGAGGTTGAAAAAACACTCTGAGATGGTTTAGCCACTTAGGATCATAAAGTTAGGACTAGAAGGTGACTTAGAGGTCACCTTGGTCAACTATCTCATTTTCCAAGTGTGGAAATAGCCCGGAGAAATTAAAAGGTTAAGTGATTTGCCTAATAATAGTCACTAATTAAATTATTAGCTATTTAATAATTAGCTAATTATTAATTTAAAATAATAGCTTGCATTTATATAGCACTTTAAGGTTTGCAAAGTGCTTTACAAATATGATCTCATTTGCTCCATACAATGATTTTGAGAAGTAAGTGCTATTATTATCCTCACTTTATAGATGTGGAAACTGAGGTGGACCGAACTTAAGTGACTAGCCCAGGGTCACACAGCTAGTAAGTGTCGGAGGCTAGATTTGAACTTAGGTCTTCCTGACTCAATGTCTAGCACTTTATTTGCTGCACCACCTAGTGGTGGAGCCAGTCCAGATTTGAATCCCTGTTCCCTGACTCCATATTTAGTAGTCTTTCCCCTAGAGAATCACTCTGTTATAGGTCATAGGCTCATGGATCTCAAGCTAAAAGGCCCTGAGACCACGTTGTCCCATATCTTCATTGTATATTTAAGGGAATTTGGCCCAGGAAAAAGAAATGACTTGCCCCAGTTCCCACAGATAATAAGCCTCAGAGTCAGAGTTTGAATTCAAGTACCCCGACTCTCTTCCTATCATACCATACAACCTTCATCAGTTTCTCAGATGCCAATCAGACGATGGGAGAAAAATGAAGAACAGTTTAATTCATCCCTTGGGTTCTATTACAAACAAGGGTGTGAAGAACTTTTTTGAGAATTAAGGCATTGCCTTGTACTATCCCTTCTCTCCCCACCTACCCTCAAAAAAGCCCAGGCTGTTGCTCCCTTTGTCTTCTTGTTATTCCCAAAATCCATTCCTGAGATAACAAGGCAAGGTGTTAATGTATGCCCAGTTTAAATAGCATCTGGAAGATCTCTGCCAATGTGGCTTAAAAGATCTAAATTTCTCTGCGGATTTTTGGCTTGTTTTGAGGCAAAGCAGGACCTAAATTGGAGATGTTTGTGACTCAGAGTTGGCCCATTAATGCTTTTCCAGAAACACCTGGTGCTTGTTTGAGCCTTGCTGTAATTAAACTGTTTATGCCTGCTGCAGTGAGATGGGTCTTCTGAAACCATGCTGCTGCTTTCAAGGTTAAACCTCTTCCCAAAAGATATGAAGGGCTCCAGTGGTCTGAATCACAGGGAATGCTGGGAGCCATAATCATCTCAGGACTTTAGTGAGTAGGAAATATGTAAAGCACTTTAATATTTTTTAATTGCTTTATAGCACAGTTGGCAAGGAAACAGATTGTTCTGTTATTTTTCTCCAAACTGAAATCATTTTTCATTCTCCCCCAAAATAAATACTCAAGCCCACACCTCTCAAAAATAGGAATCTATTTTTTGGTTCCAGTCTAATCACTTGAGTTCACACTCCCCAGTAGGGGGGAAAGCCTCCTTTCAACAGGGCCTACCATGCTAGTTGCTTTACTAACTCTTCATTTATATATAAATATATATATAAAGTTTATAAAAGCTATATAAAATTTATAGCTCTCTGTCTCTCTCTCTGTCTCTCTGTCTCTGTCTCTGTCTCTCTGTCTCTCCTCCTCTTTCACACACACACACACACACACACACACACACACACATAGTCCCCTGTTACTTTAAAACACTACACATAAATTGCCATGACTTTCACTTTTTTCAGAAATACATTGTTTCAGTGTGACATATTGATTCAACTCTCAACCCCAATCATAAGGGCTGATTTCATTTGACAGCATATTATAGCACTACAAATTTGTAGAACATAGACATCAGCCATAAATAAAAAAGATATTAATTTTTTTTAATTTTAAAGAAAGAGCAGGGGAAGTTTAATCTAGAGAAGAGATGACTCAGAGGGGGCATAATAACTGTCTTCACATATTTGAAGGGTTGACATTTAGAAAAGGTTTTTATTTTTTCCTTCAAAAAAGGACTTTTTAAGGGACCCCACAGGGCAGAAGTGAGATCAATGGGTATAAGTTGCTAAGAAACAAGTTAAGGGAGTGTTGGCCCCGGAAGACGAATTTGCCCAGAAGAAGAGTGGCTTTTCTCAAAAGGTAGTAAATTCCTCAATAATGGAGGTCTTCAAAGAAAGCCTGGATGATCACTTGTCACAGGTATTAAAGAGGAGATTTTTGTTCAGGCATATCTTTGAAGTTATTTCCAACTCTGAAATGCTGATTCTTTATGTCATATGAATATGTCTTGTGAGTTAAAATTAAAGCTAACCTGGGAGAAAGAAAGAAAATAAATATCTCCTTACATCTTCTTGTGTCTAATTTTTCAGTCCCAGAAACCTTCGGTAGCTCTTTCCTGAAACCTGCAACTGGTTTAGAGACCCTTACCTAAATAAGCCAGTATCAATTATGAGTCAGGGAACTGCTACAGTGTCCCTTTAGGAAAGGACTAGTGTTCCATGAATAGCTTTAAAACTCTGACTCAGGGGGCACCAGCCCTGAAGTCAGGAGGACCTGAGTTCAAATCTGGCCTCAGACCAAACACTTGACACTTACTAGCTGTGTGACCCTGGGCAACTCACTTAACCCCAATCGCCTAAAAAAAAAAAACTCTGACCCAATGTGCTACAGCTTGGGTTCTGGGTCTACTCTACCAACTCCCACTGAAACTGGTAGGCTGGGTCTCCAGAGAGCACTTGCTACTTCTCTCCTTCAGGGTTTAGGGAACTTTAATCTATGGAGGGTCAAAACCCCCTGAGGTGCTAAGATAGGTTTTTCTAATGCTTTAGCTCGTGAACTCACAATTGTGTTCTTCTCCCTTCCTCCATACCCACCCCTACTCCTTGATTAACCAACTAATATCAATAAATCAGTCAGACATAATTATCTTTTAGAAAGAGATATTTAAGGAAGTGGTATAGTAAGAAAAGTTGGTACAAAACGTGCCCATGAGAGTACAACACACTCTCTCACCAGTATTTATACAGTCCAAGGGAAAGTGAGCTTAAGCTTAGAAAGCACATGAGACAATGGGGTAACATAGAGTTCCCACTTGATAAGGTCCATTTCCCCCACTTGCAAGTTCCCCTTAGGTGCTGTCCAGTTTTTCCTGTGGGCCCCTCATGGAGTTTTTTTTGTTTTTTGGGTTTTTTTTTTTTTGGTGAGGCAATCGGGGTTAAGTGACTTGCCCAGGGTTACACAGCTTTTAAGTGTCAAGTGTCTGAGGCCAGATTTGAACTCAGGTCCTCCTGATTCCAAGGCTGGAACTCTATCCACTGTGCCACCTCACTGTCCCTCCTCATGGAATTTTAAAGCTGCTTTTACTCAGCATGTCTAGTTTGTCCTCAGTTCCTAACACAAGCACCACTCACTGCTAGCACACCAAAACCTCCAAAGTTCACAAGATCCTCTTCTGGTCAAGGGGGCAGACTGAGGCTCTGCTCCTCTCCCCTGCCCTACTGATTCCTCTTAGGGGCTTGGCCAGAACTGCCCTCTCCTTGCTCACCACTGAAATCTCTTGGATTGTGAGCTGATTTACTATTTTATACAAAACCCAAAGGATGTGACCAAGTTTCTTCAACAAATACCCACACACTTCCTGTGGAGAATCACTCCATTTCATCTAATAGCTTTCTAGGATCTCTTGTCTAAAGCTCTTGATTAATTGATTGATTCAATAAAGGTATTATCACACATTAAACTCATTACTTTTAAGTAGGGTGGTATTTGATTGACTCAATTGATCCCTATCTTACAGTGCTCTCACTATTGGAGGGTAGAGCTGATGATGCTGCTGATGATAATTTCCCTCAGTTAAGGTTCAGCAGAGGTTTATCCAGACAATCCACAAAACTCTTCAAAGTTGCAGAATTCTAAGCCTACTTTGGAAAAAAGAGACATATCAGTCTTCCTTACATTCTTACAAATTGTGGAGGGATGACTTGTGGGCTCATTATAATTAATGCTTTTTTTTTAAAAGAA